TGTCTTCTGGGTTGTTGTTGTAGTCTGATATAAGTTTACCGACGTTTCAGAGGTCCTTGCTGCCTCCATCATCAGTGAAATCGCCATGAAGATGGAGGAAGTAAACACCTCTGAAACATAGGTAAATTTCTGAGAGACTACACGAATCCAACATACCAGAAGACACCCTCAGGATGATTCCATTTTTGGCAACATAGGAATTCTGTTGCGTCTGAACGCGGACTGTCTATTCCTTCTGCTCGCCGGTTAACAATGCTATTTGCACAAACATAACAACCTACTTCACAGTCACTGGGCCGCAGTGCCATTTGATATCAGCAAGAGATGTAAACGAACATATGTCATTGTGTATCGAAAATCAATACAGCAACATACACACCGACACTGAAATGCACCAGGGAGAAACAAAGGAACCTATACTGCGTAATGTGGATGATTGAGAGCACGGCGAAAATGTGATAACAAGGAAGGACGCACAGAGTAAATGAGTGAAGAGGGAAATGGCGCACAGATCTAGAATGAAAATCATAATGTATAAATCAATGATCACAATTAGGTCTTACCGTAAATACGTAAGAAAACACAAAAGGATAACCAACTCACCAGACATTTTCGTGCCATATTCAGTTCCATTTCGTCCGTCGCTTTCGTCATGTGTGTCAAAATTTAACCGTGCAAAAACATCTGAACAGCCACAAAATATCCCATCCACAGATTCTATCCAAATCCTTATTCATTCAAAATTATTGTTCACCTTTCCACGCAACTCAACGTTTACAGCTGAAACCGTGTCGTTAAATTACACAAAAGTCAAAGTATTGGACAATGTTACCAATATTCCTTTCCTATATTTTTCAATTAGCTTCACACGTTCTCAACACGCATTTTGTGATGCATCGGCAAAGAAATGTATTCTCGGAAGATTTCCGTCTTTTGGGTTGTTGCGCTGTGTAGTCTGGTCGATGTTAACCAACGATTCAGAGGTCATACTGCCTCCGTCATCAGGGCGATGAGTATGAAGATTTCTGTCTTCTGGGTTGTTGCGCTGTGTAGTCTGGTCGATGTTAACCAACGATTCAGAGGTCATACTGCCTCCGTCATCAGGGCGATGAGTATGAAGATTTCTGTCTTCTGGGTTGTTGCGCTGTGTAGTCTGGTCGATGTTAACCAACGATTCAGAGGTCATACTGCCTCCGTCATCAGGGCGATGAGTATGAAGATTTCTGTCTTCTGGGTTGTTGCGCTGTGTAGTCTGGTCGATGTTAACCAACGATTCAGAGGTCATACTGCCTCCGTCATCAGGGCGATGAGTATGAAGATTTCTGTCTTCTGGGTTGTTGCGCTGTGTAGTCTGGTCGATGTTAACCAACGATTCAGAGGTCATACTGCCTCCGTCATCAGGGCGATGAGTATGAAGATTTCTGTCTTCTGGGTTGTTGCGCTGTGTAGTCTGGTCGATGTTAACCAACGATTCAGAGGTCATACTGCCTCCGTCATCAGGGCGATGAGTATGAAGATTTCTGTCTTCTGGGTTGTTGCGCTGTGTAGTCTGGTCGATGTTAACCAACGTTTCAGAGGTCATACTGATATCTTCATACTCACCGCTGTGAGAACCTAAAGTCTTACAAATGTATTCTCCTTTGTTAATTATTATTAATTAATTATGTCACAACACTTAACATGTCGACTAATCCAAACCAAAGTTGAACACTGAATAGGAAATGGAATGCTATTGCTTATTACTAAAAGTAAAGTTTGTCCCACTATACGCCATGTAGGCGTTTGGGGTGAGTGGAGGTATAGCTCCTCTCTTTCTTGACCTCGGCACTAGATGGGGGTGAGTGGTCAGCATCACGCCCCGGCCGGCTTTACCCCCGGGAAAGGACCCCGGTACCCATTGTAGAGGAGGCTGGGTGGGCCCCAGAGCCGGTCTGGACGCAGAGGCTAGAGGAAAAATCCTGCCCCCATCGGGGATCGAACCCCGGTCGTCCAGCCCGTAGCTAGTCACTATACTGACTGAGCTATCCCGGCTCATATTGCTTATTACTACTATCTTTTAGTTTAGTCGAATACCGTGCAATTATGTACCCACTGTCCAAGGTTTACGTACAGGGTCTAACAGAGAAGACGATTCCGGAAGAAATTACGTATACATGAAAGAACATAACCTAAACAGTACGATAAAAACAGTATAAACAAAATATAAACACAAATAAGACGTCGAGAGAGAAGAAAACTTTATACAATAGTCATGTAAGTCTGCAGACATAATGTTCATGTTGAGACTGGTTACACTCGTGTTCAGGACACGAAATGAATTATTTATAGGCACTTAAATCTAACATGCGAATGAGAGCGAGCTCTTAAGTCACTTAACTATCAAGAATCTTTATCTGATATTCACAAAATCGTATAAGTCTACGTAACATTTAAGAATATGAAATCGTATCTACCATTCAGCAACAGCAGGCTCTAGATGGATATCGTAAATCGCACTGCGCGTTTCCTTATAACGCTCAGGAATAATATAACCCCACTTTTCGATGTGTCATCATCAGAAGAATAGAGCCATAACGAGGAACAAGATCGGGTCCGTGGTAGCAGATGCTTGGAACGACTATACTCCATTTTGTCTTTCTGCAGGCCGTGAACAGTTTAACTGCCCTCACGAGGAATCCTGCTAGAAGCAAAACGCAGACCGAGCGAAAATGGGGAAACCGAAGAGGACCTATCATAGTGTGTTGCAAAGAGTTCACTGGTAGCGGAGAGCAACAGACCACAGTAATAGACATTAGAAGCTTTCGTGTGCAAGACCTTGGTGATGACGAGATTTGGAAAGGGTCGAATGTAAGACTCCATTTAATTCAGATGTATGTATGCGCATCGGAAAATAAATAACAAAAGATTATCAGTTTCGTGTTAAATTTGACTGCAATGGCTCTTAACTAGAATCAAATCCGTCATATAAAATGTGTGTATCTGAGTGATTTAATTCAGTTTAGTCATATCCTCGATTAAGACTGGTGAGAGACGATCATCAACGGTTTATAAAACATATTTGTAACAATACTGCATTGCTTTAAATTCGCAGAATAACACGAGTATCGATGGAGATGAAACAATAAAAATGAATTGAAAACAAACGCGTCAATTAGTTTCCGCTATAAACTTTTATGGTTTGATGATTACGCATATGAAATAAATGTTTTGTTGCTTTGTTTATTATACGTCTTTCGGCAAGATTCAGAATGCACTGGGGTACATACATGTATTGCTACATTCAAACGCGCAAATGTCAGAAAAAAAGTAGGACGTATCGTATCTGTCTGTCACATCTGTCTGACTTCAGAATCCATTTTCAGATGATGATGATGAAATTCGATATGAGAGTATAACGAAAAGCAACGTTCTGATCCTACTGTCTGGGCGCATATTGAAACTTACAGTGCAATCCCGAATGAATGCGTTCACATCACGCCGAGTTGTCCCTCCTTTTTCCAGTAATGCAAAATAACAACAGCAGCTATACTTGAGGATGAATTTTAATATTTTGCCGTGTTTTAATAATTTTGTTGCCTTATCATTTGCTGTCTACATATTTTCGTAACAAATTTACTGGTGTTATAAACGAATGTTTGAGCTGAACACAAATTTTAAACTTCTTCTTCTAACATTATGCATGAAGATGAAGGGTCTTTAAAACTAACGCCCAAGTTCTCAACTCAGATTTAAACGAATGTTTGTAATTCATACGTCAACTTGAGACTCTCGATAAATCAGCTTGGACTACTTCGCCAACTTGGGAATAAACTCTGATGTTCACAAACACCTCAAGATTTCTTATTCCCTCATACATATTTATGATGAATAAGCAAAATATATTAAAGACGATTTCAAATCGGGTGCTAAAGGTATTTATCAGTAGTCTATTTATGAGGCGAAACGTCTCATTAAAGATAAGGAATTGCAATTAGACGGCTGGTGGTGTTCCATTCCTCGGAAGGCCTTTGAGAGTCCTTTCTTCGTCAATTTGCACTCTTATGGGAAACAGTCAACATCATCCTACCCCATAAGGACAGTGGTTCCCCTTTCAAGTGATAATATGCATGAGGCAGTGAAGAGACAGCTTAACGTCATTTGGAGACGAAGTTAAGAAATACATGAAGCATTACCTCCGAGCGTCCTACACGCTTCTACAGAGTGATGCTAAGCACAGTTAAAACGTACTCCCTTTGAAATACACATACAGCAAGGCGTTTATTTTACATACAATTTATCTATCGATAAAACTGCCAACATTTTTCAAAAAACAAGTTTCCGGGAAATTTGTTTGTTTTCTAAAGGTGCCCCAGATTGTTAAAGTGCATGCCGGCCACGTTGGGATTTTAAACGACTGTAGTTAGAATAAATATGAAAAAAGACATTGACATTTGCTATTTACTAAATCTATTTGTTGTTCTAATACATACGATGTTAAGTAAACCATTCAATTAAATTTTACTGAGTTTCCCAGGTTTTTGACTAGCAGAAACAGGGAGCACAACAAAACAGACCTTCGTTATCCACCTGTCACCTGGTGGCGGAAGTACGAACTTCCTCACGTTTGGAGGATTGATAACAGAATAATTATACACAACGTGTTGAATTGTCGTCATAAACCTTTAAACGTACATAAAAACCGATGTTCCGAGATGGTTGCATGGTTGGTAGTAACCAGCTCGAACAAAGTAATGTAGTCGCTTTTGGGTGAACGAGCTGAGAAAACGCAGTGCTCCGGTCGAATAGGAAGACATTTGAATACCATGCCAAAGCTTTTAATCTAAACGGCATTAATTATTTGACCGAATGACTGAACTTCCTTTTTCGTTAACACCTGCATTGTTTCGCTGGGTGCATCTTATTACCGTCTATTGGACGGCGTCAGATATTCAATAGTGTTGCCCATAACTAATACTGTGACCCATCCAACCTGAAAGTAATCAAATTTACATGCATTTCAGTGCCACCTGACATTACTGACGAGGAAACGAGCTCCGACCTCACCGTGCGGGAGGGTGAGAACGCCACGATGATGTGTCGCGCAACGGGACACCCAGTGCCCCGCATTCTCTGGCGCCGTGAGGACGGCGAGGGCTTGATCCTCAGGAAGGGTCTCAGGGACGTGACGAAAGGTAAGGTCCTAGAATATGTCACGTTCTAACGTTACATAATCATAAGTTAACATCACCTCACAACAAACAGCACGAACACCTTATCTTGTGCACAGAAAGTTTGTAACATTCCCTTCGTCATGTTTCTACGAGGGAGATTAAACAAATCTGTAATATTGGCGCATTATCATTGTGTGAATGGTAACAGCGCTCCACGTGTTCCAGCGGTACAACATCGTATGTGACAGTTATATACGCACTTATGTTTTAAGAAAACCACAATTTCCTCAAATTTAACTCTACTGAATATCTGGGTCTGAAACGGAAACAATAATTTGACAGGCAGACCACGTGCCAACGGACTCGGTCCGAAAAACTGACTCTTATTCGCATGACGGTAGGCCTACGGACCACCTAATGTAACTAGATCTTTAATACCTGTATTTACATGCCTAGTATTCTGATAATATGGACGGAAAACAGAGCAGAATGCCAGACATACACTTTGCTGATGAAAGAGCTGAATACACGTATACCCATAAAACTAAACTTACATCGCATTACTTGGCAAAGCACACATGAGGAAGATGAGAGTTGTATACCAGCTTTCAGTTGGAAAGTACTACAAGTTTGGATAGGAATCATCTGGCTCAGGACACAGCCCAGTAACGGGCCTCTGTGAACGCGGCAATGAGCAGTCTAGTTCCACAAAAAGCGAGGGATTTCTCGATTTTCAACAAGGACTCCAATCAACGAGTTTATTAATTACGCCTACATCGGCGAAATTTAAAAACTTGCACTGGAGATAATGTTACACAGATGACTACGCCGTTCTTGTGAGTTTTGCCATTGCGTAGACTGTTTGGAAGATACCAGCATTTCAGACAAACATTTTGTCTCCGTCATCGGGGTTGAAGACGGAGAAGAACAGCACCATTATCATCAAATCTCACAATGTTACACATAGTTACAAACTTGTAATGAAAAGATCGCTACAGAGACAAGACAGTTAAGAAAGATTATTAGGTGTGGGGGGGGGGATTGAGAAAACAATTCCATATTACATAGGAAAAGGTAACACGTGAAAAGTACGTTTAGAAGCAGGTAAGATGAATTGTGTGTGAGGTAAGAAGCATCAATACAAATAAAATTAAGCCAACGAAGGAGTGTCCAACTAACAGAGTAACACTCGCTAGCTCGGTGAGAAGCCAATGAAGGTTTCACTATGAGAAAGTAGAGGATAAACCCGGTGAGGTGGAAAGAGACCTGATCTGTCCGTCGAGAATTCCAAGAAAGAAAGGAACGAGAAAGGACCTCGATTAACCTTCTTCCCTGCAGTCGTAAGCGGCTTAAAAATGACGTCATCACCAGTACGTGGGCAACACTACGCCAACTTGGAAAATTGAGTAAAGAAAGCTAAAAGAAGTAAGAAAATCTCGAGATTCTAACAAAAAAAAACTATTGTGATAATGGGACTCTATAGTGAAGAAATCCAGTCCTTTTCTTCACAACGAATCTTGTAGTTATTGTTCAGGACCACTTAAAAGGATTAAAAGCAGTTAATTTTCTCGTCTAGTCAGGACGAAATTATTCCCTAGTCAAACAAGCAATTTGTCACTTTTGCTTTTGGTACGGACGCCAAAGTTTCGCTATATATGATCACATCTACTTAATTTGGTCTTATTTTGCACTGTTTCGCGGGCTCAAAATAGAGTATCGCAGATAGCATCTACGTATAATTGATACCAACTACTATATAATCACAGACATCACCAATAATTAGTCATAAACTGGTGTACTTGGATGTTGTGCCAACGGTGATGAGGATCTGCGTTTTATAACAGCAACAATTTCATGAGCTGAGTAATTATGAAAT